GGAGGGCTGGGAATGGGGAAAAAATAAGAACCAAGATGCATCATGTAAAGGTACAAGTTCCCAATGAGAAATGTAAATGTGTTGTATACCTAAAATGTACCAATAAAAAATTCAAGTAATAAAAAATAGATAAATAAATACATAAATAAATAAATAATAAAAATGCATTTCCACATAACTTTTTTACAAAATATGGACGCATTACATTAAAATTTCAGTAGGAAAGCAGAAAATTGGTAAAATTAGAATTGAAGTGTTATTATATCTAAAGAGCAGCTGCAGGCCATATTTTTTAAAAATCCTCAAACTGCCAAATTCTCTTCAAACATTACCTACCTTAACTCGGGAAGTTTAAGAATGATCTTATGGATTATTTATATAGTTTTATAGTTTACATATATAGACGTATATTTTATATAGTCGTTTATGTAGTTTACTAAATATTTATATTATATACCATCAAAAGGTAAAATACAGAAGGATATCATGTATATATAAAACTTATCTGTCTTGTAAACTAGGAAGCTCACTTGTCCAGAAAGAGCCAATGCAGATATCATAGATCCTTGTAGTTCACTATTAAGATTACTCTTAACCTTAAAACCCACTTTTAATGATTTTATGTATAATTTGAACAAATCAGATATCCCAGTCTACAAAAAACTAGGAATAACAAAAGAAAGGGAGATTGGCAGTTGATTGAGGTTGCTGATGGCACACACCCTGATAGCGCTAAAACTAAAACTTTTCACTAAACATGGCTCATTAAAAAGAACATAAAATCAAGGTAAGAAATTACTAAATAGGCAGTCTGAGGTTTTTTAATAAGAGGAAAAATTATCCCACATACTTTTTCAATTTGTGAACATTATTTTATAGCACAATACAATAATTTATTTCCATAATGAAGACCCTGAATCAAAAAGAGTTCAATTTTCTTCTCTAGTGAAGAAATTTGCTATTGAAGAAAGGTACAAAAGTATACACTGAAGAAATATTACCACTTAAAGTGTTGAAGATAAAGAAAATTCATTGCCTAAAGCATCCCAAAATTTGAATTAAACTTTACCAAAAGTTTTTCAGTTATGAGGTCTAAAATCTACCAGTGTTTATCAGATGTAAATGATTTGCACTGTAAATCCTCAATGGTGAGAACCAAAATAAGATCAAACCAAATTGACATGATAAATTTGGGGTGAGGAACTAAGCAAAATGACATTAAATAGGAAAAGAAAAAGGGAAAGGTATTTGAGCCACCAATACTTGGTGTCCATAAAATTCACTTTTAGTTTTCTGTTAGAAATTTACTTTCTCTAAATCTCTTCATTTTGCTATACTTCATTCCTTGTTCTCTGTTCCTTTACCCCATTATATTTATTTTGCTTGAATGTCTTAACTTTTTAAGTTCTCTTTACATTGAAATCAGATTCTTAATAAAGTGAGACTTGAGTTCATTTGAGGGAATAGTACAATGAAAACTGAACTAAAAATAATAAAGATCTTTAACAAGTAGGACCTATTGACCTAGCAAAATATAGGCCATGGGGTTGAGAAGTGATCAGTCTACAAATAACTCTCTTTTCCAGTGAATGAAAAAGCCATTGAAATTGTGTCAGGGTATAGATTAGGAAGACTGAATTTCTATACAATTCATACTCTCCAGGAGGGAGAGAATGACTGATTTGCACAATCCCTTGAAACTTTTTTTTCCTCTTTCAGCCATTTTTTAATTTTACAGTTTGTGTTCAATGCAAATAAATTCTATAACATGAGATGTTACTATCCATCAAAGCATAATTACACTGACATAGTATGCTTGTAACTCTACATTTTAAGAATTTATATCTTTTATTCTCATTGTTTATTTTATATTTTTACACTATCTGGGGTCTAAATATCTGTATTTCAGGGATATCAATATTCAAGTACAATCAAGTACATTATGAGGAAAAAGTTGCAATAACAAATCAGAAATATAAAAGATAGTACACAATGCAGCTCCCTGGAGAAAACTTAATCTTAAGGTTATGGTAAGAAAAATGAAAAAAGAAAGCAAGGAAATTACTATAGGAGTAAAAGTGTTTGTATTTATAAAATGTAATGTCCAATTGAAATATTTTATATTACATTTTCTAAGGAAAGTAAGCATTTTAATTTAAAATTCAACAAGGATAATTTCAAATAGTGCATTTAGAGCCATCAGTAGGAAATATTTTTAGTTCTTACACAAATCTGAGTATGATGGTTGATTTCAAGAAATAAGAAACAGGTATCCTAAATATTTTCCTATAGAATTGGTTTCATAATTACCTATTTAAAGGTGAACATATCCTTCAGTTTTTATGAAATATTTTCCAAAGAATTCTGCTTATCAAAATATTTTTATCTTTGGGGTCTTTGAAGGTAGAAACAGCAAAACAAACTTTAAAATAGACACATTTTCTCTTTCCCAAATTAACCTAATGAATGCCAAGGATGAGAAAGTTGCTTATTTTTTGAATCATTAAGGTTTCCTGACAAGAGGACTTGTAGCATTGTGAAACAAACATGAAAGGGCTTGTACATTCAATATAATCGTTGACTCGTTTTGTTAGATTTATCTCTTCTCTTCTTTGTATCACATTCTTATCGCCCTTCTTGAATGTGAAGCAGCTGATTCTTTACAGCTGAATAGCTATAATTTTGATTACATCCTCTCTTTAGATGTCTTATCCATTACTTACTATTAAAATGCATACATATTACTTAGAAGATATTCATGAAACAGACTAGACTTTCCTGAAAAGGTAAAAATACTAAAGTCATAAATGTTGAGAAAAAAAAAACAAATACAAAAAGAAAGGCATAAACACAGAATTCCCTCAGAAAATGCCTGTTTTACTATCTTTTGGTGCTGAGGGTTATATCAGTATTAATTTGAGGTTTAAAAAGCATGAACTAAGCTTTAAGGTGTTTATTAGTTCAAAGAACTGAGATATTTAAAAGATATGTTTATTCTACAAACCTTTTAGTGTTTTCACGAAATTTATAGAAACAAATATATGCTAAATGATTATTTCTATTTATTAAGAATTAGTATTTTTATACCAGGGAAATGAAGTTGATTATAAAGTTAATGACTTCATACCCTGAGTAGTTTTTCTCATATTAAGCAAATATTACTAGTCATAAAAGGCTATAAATTCAAGTATGAGACCTCAGTACTTACCCTGACTACACTGAAGTCCAGCTTAGTCTCCTGTGCACACTGTAATATGAGCTGAAAGCAATTTTTACTTTGATTTGTCATTCCATTTTCATAATAACGCTGTAAAATCCTTTGTTGTTCTACAGTAAATACTGAACGTAGATTCATCTAAAAATAAAAGAAGATACTCTCAAACTTGGAAAAAATTGGTATGTCTAGAATTTATACACTTTGTTTTTCAATACAATTTCAATGCTTCCAAACTGCAATAGTTTTTAAAGGGTAATAATTTATGTGCTAAAGGGAGATAAATATATATGTAGTACAAACATATACTGAATTTGTTTAAAAATAAGTACCAGCTTTAAAGAAAAATATAGAAGAGAAAAAAGAGAAAAGGCCTTATCTAGTTAGAGTCAGTGCACAGGGCAAAAAAATGTTTCTTTCTCTTAAATATTTATGGTTAGGCAAGTCAGAAATAGTGGTAGTGATACATGATCAATTATCAACAGGGACATTCACTGTTCTTTGTCATCTGGCACATGTCTAACAATCAGAAGCTATGCTCTGGAGCAAAAGGATCCTTTTATTTTTCCTCTTTCTGCAATTAAGGTGTTCTTTTATATATTAAAACAGAACCTCCCTTTAAAGCTTAAAAATAAAAGGAAGGTATAATTTAGGTGATGCTATCCAAAATAATTATTTTAATAACTATACTATGTAAAGCAAAGTTTTTTAAAAAATGTGTATTTTATTAAAACTCTAAAAACTATGTATCTTTTAATTAAATTGACCCCATTAAAATTAGATAAGTTTAAAAAACTTTATTTTTTTCTACCTATAAATAAAATGTTTAAATAAATAAAATGCAAAAATCTCTGTGACTCTCATGAGTAAAAGGCTGCTTAAACTCTACTTTTTAAAAGATGAATTATAGTACTGCATCTTTATTAAAAAATTCTTGTAATTTGATTAAGGGAATTCCAGGTTCTTGTTGAAAGCTGTCATGTTGAAATTCTTATTCCCAATGGTTAACTCACAGAAAAACTTTCCTAAGGAAAGTATCTCTTTTATATGTGGAAAAGAGCAACAGTAAAAACATTGTAAGACAAACCAAACCATTTTCCATAGTATATTCTGTATGGAATCAACGAAGTAGTTGACATGGAAATAAAACATAATTTCCCTTCCTATAAATACTTAGAACAATAAATCCATGTAATAAAAAAATTGAAAAATCATATGGCCATACACTGCAGTTTGTATACCTGGCTTTTTTTCCTACTCACATAAACATTTCCTAACTAATGTTAAGAGAACAGATTATAGAAAATTAGATGTTGGAGAGGGCATAGGAAAGATGAGAGTACAGTGTCTACCTGAAATAGAAACAAAGACCTCCAGTAAATTTTTGAAAGGTGTTTTGGAAGGGGATACACTAATGTAGAAGTATAAATCACTTATCTGCTACTGGACCAAATGTTCAAGCATGTTTGGATCATTGGATAAGGACAATATCTATCAAAATAAGTTTTGCTATTGTGGCTGCCAGTTTTCAGATCAATTTGGAATTCATTTTCCTAAATGGTTGAGTCACAATCTGGAGAAAATCCAGAAGTGAAGGTCAAATACCTGAAATATATCATCCAGTATGGATTGAGAAGTAAAGTACATTGGAGTAAGTTCTGAGGAGGGTGAAAAACTTAAACTCATGCATGACTAACTGGGATAATGGCCCTGATCCTACTCTGCAGGGCTGCACCTTCTGCAAACAGCCTAAAGTGCAAGATACATGTATTCATTCCCCAAGCATGATGACACCTATTCCAGTAGGAATATAAGAATATTTTCTTATTGGATGGTTGCAACTGTTACACTTGCCCAGGTATTACTGGACCTTCACAAACCACAGCAGGCCCTTCCCCACTGACAACAAATAGCCAAATGCAGATGACTGAGTATTAAGCAGATATCTATAGGCTACAATTCTTAAAATGGGCAATATTGTGAAATTTTAAATTTTTCCTTTAAATTCAGTAGCAATAGCATCAACATCGCTTTGATCAAAAGAGCTACTCTTTTTCTTTAAAATTTTATAAATTTCATTTTTATAATAAAATAATCACATTTCAGCAAGGAGGAAGATATCTTGTCATTATCTCCATCCACTATATATATCTTGTTTTATGAAGTGCCATGATATTAAATGACTGCATAGACAAAGTTTTCAATCACTTGTAAAAATTAATCAGAAAGTTTTAAAAATACTTTTAAACTTGAGTTCTTATTTATAAGTTAAAATAACAAGCCATTGGTTCCATGAGATTTGAGGTATTTGGGTGGAGTGGGAAGTTTGGCTGAACTAGGGGATTAAATGTTAAAGTAACATCATTTATTCTCACCTTAAGATTTCCTACTCTAATACTGTATTTATTGGGCCACCCATTCAGTACATGCCAGCTCATATGATTAACATGACCTATGTTCTATGCTCAGGTCTTCATTATTTGGTAAATCAATTTCCCCTAGCATCCATTTCCTAGTTTATAAAATACCTGAGTTGTACAATTTCGGTTGCTTGCAAGACTGAATTCCTAAGAATAAAGATATGAGAATTCATATCTCTTAAATTGTAAAGCATGTAACAATTTTAACATGTTTATATTTTTAATATAACTGGCTCCCCTTCAGTTTATCTACAATTTTCAGGAATGGAATTTCTCAGTTCCTTCTCAGATTTAGGATTCAGTGTTTTCAGGAAAACTGAGCCAATAAGAAAACATTAAATTATGCTCAATATATTCTATTCAACTAAGCAAGGTAGTGGATAAATATTTGAGATTTATTGCCTTGGAAACATTTAAAACATCCAACTTCTAGGAATGATCGTTTCAATAGGAGTTTCAGATAGCTAGTCATATTTTCATATGGAAATAGTTGAGATTAATTCTTATATAACACTGCTTATATATTTGATGCCATACTTAATAGTTTAATGCCTTAATAATGACCCAGCTGGTTATGTTATTTTACAAGTACCTCCAAAATTTATTCATCAATACTCATTCTTGAAAAACTTGATTTTTTAAAATTAATTTATTGGTACATTTTAGGCATACATTATGATCACATTCATTATTGGGAATTTGTACCTGTACATAATACATCTTAGTTCTTGTTTTTTCCCATTCCCCTTCCCTCCCTTCCACCCCTCCACCACTCTTTACTTACAAAAGTTTTGTTTCCATTTTTTTCATTTTTTCCTTTCCCTTCTTTTCTATCCCCCACCCCTCCCTACTTCCCTTTCCCCTTTCAAACTTGGCTTCCTATTTCATATTATCTATTATACATTTCGGTCCTCATTTACACTTTCAGTTTCTCACACAAGGGACATAATTCGGTATTTACACGTGTGCCCTCTTTATTTCACTAAAGAGTATGGCCTCAATCTGCATCCATTTAGCTGTAAATATCTCTAGTTTATCTGTAATAGCTAAATCTTGGAAACAACCCAAATGTCCGTCAACTGGTGACTGGATAAAGATGTGTTTTTTTATAAAATGGAGTACTACTCAGCCATGAAAAACTTGATTTTTACAAATGCGATGAGTCCATAAAATCTTCAACAATTCAAATAGAACACATTCTTTCCAAAATTAAAAGTTTGGATTTTGGGCCAGGGATTTAGCCCAGTGGTGCTGCCACCTGCCTCACAAGTGCAAGGTCCTGAGTTTGATCCCCGGTACCAAAAAAAAAAAAAAAAAAAAAAGTTTGGATTTTAAGTAATCCATTGATGTTTTTGTTTACAAAGTGTTGCCTGGGATTAATTTTACACCTTGTATATCTTTATATTAGCCAATATGTCTTAATTAACATTATCCTTTTATCCATTTTTATTCACATTTAAATTTATATACAGTTCAATTTACTCTTGCTGTACAGTTTTATAAGTTAAAAATGTACATAATCATGAACCAAACACAGCAGTAAAAATACAGAAAACATTTATTACTCCAAAAAACTCCCCTAGGCTGCCTCTTTGTCATCAACCTCTCCAGCACTCTGAGCTCCTAGGAGCTACTAATCTGTTCCTACCACTTTGCTTTTTATAGAATACAAAATAAATGGAATCACAAAGTATGTAGCCTCCTTAAGCTTACCTTCATTTACTCAGCATAGATTGAGGTTCATCTGTGTTGTTGTGTGTTATCAGTAGTTTGCTCCTTTTGCTTGTAGAGTGGTATTCAATTACAGGAAAGTAACTCAGTTAATCCATTCATTCATTTTTTATTTGGACTCTTTCAAGTTCTTTGCAATTATGGGTAAAGCTGCTAAGAACATGTGCTTACATTTTTCTGTGCACAGGTAAGTGTTCATTTTTCTTAAGGAAATACCCAGGAGACAGATTTCTGGGTCATATGTTAAGTTCATATTCATTTTTATGAAAAGTTGATAAACATCAAAATGACTGTACAAGGTAACCTACTTACCAATATTCAAAGAAAATTTCAGTTACTTCACTTCCTCCTAAGAATTTATTACTTTCAGATTTTTAAAATGTGCTAATTCTAATGGGTAATTTGTATATTGTAGTTTTGATTTTTATTTTCCTAATGACTAATGATGTTCAGCATCTTTTAATATACTTATTTGCCATCCATTTGTCTTCTTTGTGGAAGTTTCTTGTTCAAATATATCCCAAATTTTTCTAATTTGGTTGACTACTTACTTAGTATTGAGTTTTGGAGGTTCCATTATATATTCTGGATACAAATCTTTTACCAGAAATTTGATTTGTAAGTCTTTCCTCCTGTCTGTAGCTTGTCTTTTCATTTTATTAACAATATATTTCACAAAATAGAAGTTTCCACTTCTGAAGAAGTCTGTTTATCACTTTTTTTGGTGTTTTATAGATTTTGCTTAAATTTGTTCTACATCCTTTATATTCTCATGTGAATTTAACAATCAATTTGTCCATAGTCACAAAAAAAGTCCTGCTGAAATTATGTTTCAGATTGTATTGCATCTATACTTTAATTTAGGGAGTTTTGTATCTTAGCAATATTGGGTCTTCTGACTCATTATTCTTTGAATTATTTAGACCCTCTTTGATATTTATCACTTAAGACTTAGTTTTCAGCATACAGGTTCTATTAAACTTAAAGCTA